GGCTTCTATCACAGCAGGGAAGTCCCGGTCCCTGCACAAGAAAACGGAGGTGAAGAATTGGTTAAAGAGGTCCGCTTTCTCCTCTGACGCAGCCACCAGATTGCCCAGCGTATCCTGCAGGGGTCCCACATTACCCGGCGCCTTCTTCATCCTCCCAATATATTTGAAAAAGGACTTTTTGTTATCCTTAATCTTGGACGCTAATCCGAGCTCTGTGTCCGCCTTGGCCTTCCTAACAGCTCGCCTACAGGCCCGAGCAGAGGAGGTATATATAGAGTCTCGTCTTCCTAGAAGAGGCAGAGCCAGCTTAGAGAGTCATTTTGGTATGCATGGAAAGAGCTCCCATGCTGAAGCCCTAAGCTGGGGTGGGGGAAGCAGCTAAACAACTGTCACTTTCTCCCTCTGTCTCTTGTAACTGGATACAAATGAACTGCCTTTCTCCAGCGGATAGCAACCAGCCTCTGGATGATACTTGTGAGTAAGCTACCTATCTAGATATATAGCTTGCTGTACAGCAGGTGCATGATCAATGGCTACCAAGCCACACTGTTTGCTCTAAGGTTATTCTTTGATATTGCTCTATCCTGTACCCTGCCCCAAACCTACTCCCTGTAATCAATAAAGTTCTCCGTTGTTCTAAGCGTGGTGAACTGGCTGGGAGAGGGGCATGCATTCATGTCTCCTTGGTCTGGCTGACTAAGGGAGGCTACTATTTGTGCTGTAGGCCAAGGGAAGTACTCCCAGTTCTTGCAGTGGGTCAAGTACTCTCAAGGTCTACAAGGTCTGTGTATCCCAGGAAGCATGGGGCCAAGACTCCTGGGTAGTGACCCCAGGCTCACAGGTGTGCTCCAGGAAGGGGGGAGGCCAGATGTGAGGCACCCCCAGGGAGGTACTCTGAGCCTGGTAGATGGTCAGGCGCAGTGAAGTGGGTGGCTCCTACTGGCCCACCTCAGATGTAATGGTATTATGAAAACTTTTTTAAAAATAGAGAATAATAAATGATAGCAAAGAAAAAAAAAACGTAATGCTCTTAGATTTTTTTTCTGCAGTCCTTTGTAAAGGAAAGTGGGTAACAAATGTTAAATTGCATAACCAACATCATTTCCCCAATATGTATTTTGGAGGCGGGGGTAGTAATATAAGTAATTCATGTGGGCTTTCATTGTATGGTTCTGCAGCTTGTTGTTCTGTAATGATTGAACTTTTCTGACTAATAAGACTTCATTTTATGTTCTTTTTCAGAGTCAATCAGTTACAGTCCCTGTTTTGACAGTAAAAGATACTTCTAAATATGGTACCTTTGTTAATGGAGAAAAATTATTGAGTGAAACTTCAAAAACTTTAAAGTCAGGTGACAGAGTCAATTTTGGAGTCTTCGAAAGCAAGTTTAGGTGAGAGAACAAGGTGTATTGATTCTGAAATACTGACCGTGAAACTTCAGCTGTGTCTGATTTTTTTTTTTAAAGATTATCACAAGTGGGGCTTGCAAAGGTAACATTACCAAGAAAATAAAGTCTTATATAGTGATAAAGTAAAGGTAATTAAATAAAGTGATACTTGTTATATATTTGAAGCCTGTAACTTTTGAGGAAATTTTCTTTTCCATATGAATTGAGAGTAAAAACAACTTAAGCAACTCTGCACCATAAATGCTATATATCCTAAAACTATCCCAAGGAAAGATTAAAATCATATTTAATAAAACTAATCCCAAAACACGAGTAGTTGAAAAGGGGGCAAAAGAAGGAATCGCTGTCATTATTTAAATTAGACTGCAGGCTTGCATTGTTGCATTTGATTGTGGTGCTGCCAGAGCTACTTATGTCATTACTAGCAGCCAAACTCGTCACTTTAACATTTACAACAAAAAGCTGTTGTGGATAGCACATTTGAAATGTGTTATGCTAGAGAAACAAATACAGTGACATGAAATGCATCTTGACTTTTTCACCAAGAAGTTTACCAGATTATAATAAAACCTGTTTCTTTATTCTTTGCTAAAGCCAAAATTTGTACTTTGTGATCTTGTGTAGAAGATCGGCCAGTTTAAAAGAGGGGAAGGGTATTACCTCATGCAAGGGTAAAACCAAAGAACAATGTGCAATATACTCTAGGGAGAGAAAGTGATTTATTACTAAAGAATTTAGACAGTAAATATTTCTCTTCTAACAGGTAACAGTTGGCAGCAAAAATCTGCATGTTGGTGAATCAAAATTTAAAATAATGGGTTATTTTAGTACAAAAACTTAGGGCATGTCCAGATGAGCACTGTCATGCAGAATGTGGCGCTGCAAACATGTTTGCAGCGCCACATAATGCACATTCTGGTGTTCTCTGCACTGCAAGGGCACACTGCCCGTGTGCATACCACTCCAGGTTTTTTTTGAGCCCTGGATATCCAGGGCTCAAAAAAAAAAAAAAAAAACCATGGGGGGAAAAAAACTAGAGCAGCGCACACTTGGACAGTGTGCGCTGCTGAAAAATGGACCCAAGCCACATTGTGGCTGGATTGCCACAGCTGCAACCCTAGGAGGCCCCCAGAACCCCAGGTAAGGCTGCTGGGATCAGCACTGGGCTGGCCCCAGCCTCCCTTACTGCCCCCAGGGTAATTTGCAGCACACCAAAGTGTGGGTGGCACAGGCATTCCCTGGGGAACCAAACATCCACACACCTCTGGACTCACCCTTAGATTGTAACAGATTTGGAAGATCTCTTGGCATATGCAATAACCCCTTAGTACAGATTCTACCACTTGTAGTGTATTATTCTGTATATTTTTCAAGGAAATATTTGTGTGTTGTGTTGACCTATTCAGTTTTTGGCTACAACCACTGCTGATTAGTTGTATATTTTTTTTCTTATGACTAGCTGTAATTCCTATTAATGCATGCATACTGCACAGCACAGAGAAAATGAGTCATAGCCAAAGGATACAATGTAAGCTTCTGAGGCAAGACTTAATAAGAGGAAAACTGTTGAGACAAAGGGATACAGTGAGATAATATGACATCCATGCAGAGTTTCTTTCTAGCGCTTGCCTTCTAGCATCTCTCTGTTCTTAGTAAAAGAGGAAGGAAAAGACAGGAGTCGGGCTTGTAATAAATTCTGTTAAAACAAATTAATTAGGTAGATACATAAGGTAAAACTCCTTTTTGAGGGACTCTCTATAAGTGAAAATTCACTGTAGGTTACACAATAGGCACATTCTTAAAATAGGTGCACTATTGCTTCTTTTAAAGTTGAATGAACTTTATTTATATGGAGTATGCTACTGAATATACCTGGCACATGCTGTTCTTAAAAGGTCTTTAATTTTAAAAATTCTTAAAGAAACCCCCAGTTAGTGGTTCCAGGCTTCCAGCATTCCAGAAGACCTGGCTTTCAGGCTCCTTGCCTGCTGGGACTGTTAAGTTGCTGGGGTGCCTCCTAAGGGTCAAACCAAAATCTGAATTTGACTCTCCCTAAACAAAATTTTGGAATTCCCTTTCCGTAGGAGGTTTTAAAAGTTTCAGTTTTCCTTCTGTTTTGCAACGTATTTTCTTTTAATTTCAGAGTTCCCTGATGAACAGGAATGCCTATTTTTTGGCTGCTCTATACTTTTGTAAAGTTTTGCTAGAACAGTTGAGACCATTCTCTTCTTCAACTTGTTTTTTGCAGAATAGAATATGAACCTTTGATTGTCTGCTCCTCCTGTTTAGACGTCTCTGGAAAAACTGCTTTAAACCAAGCCATTCTGCAGCTTGGAGGCCTTGTAGTGAATGAATGGACAGAAAAATGCACTCACCTGGCTATGGTATCAGTGAAAGTTACTGTGAAGGTATGCTGAGTTTCTCTGCAATAGTTTTTGCATGAAATGGCTGGCTGTGGTAGCCTAGCCCCATTGAAGTTGTTGGCAGAACTTCAGTTGACTTTGGTCCAGGTTTTCAGCTATGAAACTAGTTTTTTGGGTAATAGGTCTGTAGATGCAAAGTCAATATAACATTTCTTTATAACAGTAGAATGTAAAATGCTTATTGTGGGAAAGTGTTCTGCAGTTGTCAGCTGTTTCTTAATATGATGCAACTTTCTGGGTTTTATTTTCTTCTTTGCTTTGATAATTGAAAAGGGAAAAGAGGCTAGCAAACTAAGCAGCAGTCAGAGTAACATAGGGGTAGCCCTGTGGGCCCAATTTGTTTAATTCTTAATCCTTGGATCTGAAAGTCACCAGATCCAGATTCTTTAAGGAAATGCAAGAAGCTTTATGGCAGACACTTAAATAACCTGGTTATAGTGAGTGACTCATCCTATTTATTTAGTTAGGGTGGTATAGAAATCTAAAAATAACTGTCTGAAAGGGTCAGAGTAGCAAATGCTAAATGCTGAGTCCTAATGCTCTAGACACTGGTATTCTTTCAGAACTTTGGAAATTAGATTTTTGTTTGAAAATCTGACTGGTGTGACTGGATGTTTTTATTATGGGTGTTCAATATATAATTCTCTTTTGAAGGTCACCACTCAATTGGCTGCAAATAACCTGTGGTTACATTGAGTTGCATTGGCTAATTATTACAGTTGAAATAAATATGAAGACAAAAATGACATTTCAAAACCTGCAAATTTAGAAATGCTAACAATTTGGCTTTTTATTATTTTTATAAAACATTTTAGTGAAAAATTACAGAATTTCAAATATGGTGGCAAGGGGTTTTGTGTAAGTAATGTTTTACTGGACCAACTGTATAGTTGAGAGAGATGTAGATGAGCTTTCAGGTACCACTATACTCTTCCTCAGATTCAAAAGTGTTTTTATGTCCCTCCCAGTTATAGAGTTGGTTCAGTAAGAGGTATAACTCACATAAATACTTGCCTTTCATGTTCTTCTTGAACTATCATGATTATGACCAGAGATCCTGGTTTTCCCTGATTTAAAAAAAAAAAAATGCAAATTCTCTGATTTAAAAACTTCAAAACCCATGATTAAAATGAAAGGCTACTAATATATATAGGTATCAGTTAAACACACAGTTTTCTTGATTTATTTACAATTTTAAAGCAGTTTGGAGGCCCATCAGTGCCTCAATCACTATAATAAAATAAATTATAAATACCTGTACATTTTTGGTACTTGACTTTGGGTTTTTTTATAAGGGAAAATCAAAGCTCCCCCTTCTCCCTTAGCTCACGGTATGCAGGTCCAGGCCCCCCCCAGCCCCCTGCTCTGCTGGTGTTCCTTGCCCCCCACCCTACGGGGACCACCCCCGCTGCCAGGGCTACAGGGCCCAGGGACCTGGGTCTGCAGCCCCCTGTCCCCCACAGCAGCACCCAAGCCCACACAGCAGCAGCGAAAGGCGCAACGCCCCTGCTTGGTGGGCAGGGGGACGCCTTGCTAGGGCAGTGCGGACTTTGCAATTAACTTTGTTAATTGGTTTCTAAAAGTCTGTTTGTGACACAGTTTTGCATTCTCAGCCTTTGAGGCAGACACGTGTCTGAAGCTAGCAGACAAACAGGCTGGGAAATTGAAAACACGTCTTGAAAACCCATAAGAACGATAAGGACTTGTAGAATTGGCATTGGGTCACAGTGATCAGCTGTAAACCCTCTGGGATTTCCGGTTTTGGTGGAATGACCAAATTAGGAGGCTGAGGATGCCCAAATTAAGGTACCAGTAAATGACCAAATCAAGATGTATGCATGTGATGGGTTTATGGAAACAAGAGTTATATTGACAGAACAGAATATGGACAATATGACAAACAACCACAGGGAAACCAATTGGTGGTACCCAGAAATGAAGAGTCAGCAGGAAAAAGAATACAAAAGGATGGATTTTTCAGAGATGGGGAGGGATCGTGAGGCCATCATGGTCAGGGAGCACACCACCTGCCTGTCTTGCCCACCCCAGCAGAGGGGTTGGGCATCGCCCCTTGACTTCCAAGACTGCTGACTTCTGACGTTCAAGCAAAGAACCATAGGGTGATGCTCACATACTGGCAATGCTTACCATTCTCCTTGTGAAGCCTTAGAACTGGTAGATATAGGATGGGGAGGTTTAGTTTGTTTGCTTGCTTACATTACTCTTACCTGGTATAACTGTGTATCAGTTAAATTTGGCTATTATTGAATGGGAGGGGTGTTCTTCGTCTCAGGGTTTAGGTCCACCTAGAACAAGATATCAGGCCTGGATCATAAATCCAGTGCTAACAAGTGGGAAATGTAGCTTTAAATCCCCCCCAGGGTAAGGCGAGTTTATAGCCCAGATCCCTAGTTTATAGTCCAGATCCTACTTCCTGGGCCACTGCAGGAAGCCACTACACTGTTGGGCAAGAGGTGGCCAATGCCACCTGTAATTCTGAGTTGAATTTAATGCTGTCAGTCTTAGTTAGACATCATTTTTATCTGTCCATTTCTCTAGGATCTTAACCAGTTTTGGGACCTGTATGGTTTCTGTCCTTGCACAGAAGCCCAAGAATTGGTTAGGGATTTTTGCCATTCAAGACGGGAGCATCTAATGAATTTAGGAGCTTAATATGTTTTGAGGTTGTCATTGTGTGGATGTTTTGGATTGCTTTTGAAACTTAGGCTCTTAAGCTCCATCTTACTTTTTTTTTAGGACTGATTCTAGTCCAGAGGAACTAGATGTGCTCTGGACATGTTAGAGACATCAAGGAAAGAAACAGTACTACAGCCTGCTCCATCTTGGATGGAAGCTTAAGGGTATATTGGTCTAGCTTGGGCAGGCAATTATTTTGGGTGGAGGGCTGCTTAACAAGGTTTGGTGAGGTTTGGAGGGCTGTGTGAGTAGCCCTGCGCCTTGATAGTTACCCTGACCCCTGGTCACCATCTTGGGTCTGGGAGTCCCACCTCTAATTCCTGACCTTTGCCACTGGAAGTCCCTCCCTTTACCCCCTGGAAATACTCCTTTTGGGAGAGGGGTTGCCATCTCAGAACCATAAAAAGAACAAATCATCATGCACAGTGGTGCATGGCTCCGGCCAGTGCTGCACATCATGGTGGGGAGTGCAGCCCTCACTGGGCCATCTCTATTCCTGGTGCTCCCTGCCACGCATGCGCAGCCCCCGCATTCACACGGCATGGGAGGGAAGCCCCATGTGCTGGACCTGGCTGGGGTGGGAAAAAGATTCTAAAAAAGATGGCCCAGCAGGGACTGCGCTCCCTGCTGTGATGTACAGCACTGGCTGGAGCCGGGCATAAGTGTCTCTGCCTGCTGTTGCTGCAGCCACCACTGCCTGCTGGGGCTGCATGCCATGGGGGGAGTGTGGGGGTCCCCACATCTCCAACCCTCCTCTCATCCCCACCCTGCCCTGAGCTCTGTGCTGCTGCCAGCCTCACTCTTCGTGCTCCTGCCCAGGTGCAGCTTTGCTCCTGCCCCTTCTGCTTGGCTCTCTGTTTCCTGGAGTGAGCAGGATGCTGGAGAAGCTGAGCATATCCCTGGCAGCAGCAGCCCCACCTGGAAGCTGCATGCTGGCTGGGGCATTTTGCCCATGGAAGGGCTGGCTGGGGGTACAACTTGTTGATGGGTGCTGTGGGCCTGATGAGAGAGCAAGATCGAGCCCACCAGGCATATTGGAGCCCAACTAGCAGTCTGGTGAGTGTTCAGCAGAGGAAACTTTACCAGGGCTGTGGCAGTTTTTCTGTGCCCTTTGTGGCAGAAGGCTACCTCTGTTTTTCCCCAAAAACTCTGCTCTGTGACAATTTGGTTATCTCTTTAGGTAACCTGAGCTGGATACATTCCTGAGGGATGGGGGAAACCTGCTCCTTCTGCCAACATACCTGGCATCACTTACCTGGGTGAGGGACTTGGGCTCCCTGGTGGGCTAGAGACTGCCAGTCTGCCCAGCAACCAGTGATGCATTTCAAATTGGTTGACTGACACCCAACAGGTGCTGGCCTCCATTGGACCAGGTAAATGAGGTCATAAGGGCTATATAAGTTAAGGACTGCCCAGGAGGAGCGGGCAGCAGCCATGAGGGAAACTCAGAGAGAGAAGAACTGGACCATCTGAAACTTGCTCTCTCAAACTCGTGATCAAGGAATTGCCTGCCTCCAGAGGGAATCTCCACCTGCCTCTGGATGATACCTGTGAGTCAGCTACCTGAGATCTAACTAGATAGATAGTTTGCAGTAACTCAGATGTGTGATCAAGGGCTTCTCCAGCCACCCTGTTTGCTCTATGGGATTTCTCTGATATTACTCAGCTTTGTACCCTATTCCAACCCTACTCCGTTTAACCAATAAAGATCTCCTTTGTACCTAGTGTGGGAGACTTATTGGGAGTGGGTCTAAAGTATGCCTTGGGGTCCCCTTGTTTTGGCTGACTAAGGGAGATCACCACTTGTGCTGCCGACTGAAGGAAGCATCCAAAGTTCTTGAAGTGTCAAGTACCCTTGAGGGATACTAGGCCTGTGCTTCCCAAGGGGGTGCAGTGCCAGAATCAAGCCCGTCCCTAGTTGGTTGCAGCTCTACCCCCAGGCTAGTGGGTGTGCTCCAGGAAGGGGGTCGGATAGACGTGAGGTGCCCCCAGGGAGGCACGCAGAGCCTGGAAGGTGGTTGGGTGCAGTGAGGTGGGTGGCTCAGCGCAGGACCACCCCCTACTGTCCTTCCACACCCTCGCCCCACTAATTTTCATGAAACATGAAGTACCTTTGCTACTATGTAATTGGCAAAGATTTTCCAGCTTTAGAAAAAGGTAGAGTTGGGAGTAAGAAGGAAAAAGAGAAAACAAATTCTGGGTGTATTTTCTTCAGTTGTATTAATCATCAGAAATTATGTGTTTGTGGAGGAGAGGGACAAACTGTAAATTGATTTTATTATTGTTATTTTTTTTTAACTTTCCAAAACCCAAAACTTAACTTTTTTTTTATATTTTTAGTTCACTTCAAAATTTTCTTTTGGAAGCGTTCTATAAAAATTGGAGAGTATTCTTTTTCTATTAAACCTTGTATTACTGCATAAGTTTCAGTTGAAAAATATCCAGCACAGATCTTCAAGAAGAGAGATTTAAAAAAGCCCCAAAGCTGTTGTTACCTACCGTATGTACCTGGATGCAACATGACTGAATTTAAGACCCGCCCCACAATAATTAGATTCAATACATGGAAAAAATTAGAAAATTGTTATTATTTTCAGTGTATAAAATCTAATTATTAGGAGGTGGTCTTAAATTCTTCTCCGTTCATTGGTGCAGCACAGAAAGCAGCGGCAGGGGTGCAGGCAGTGCCCTCTCCCTTTCTCCTTCCCTCTTCTCCCTTTCTTGATGTTTACACCCCCTTACACCTCCTCTCCTTTGCGTGTCCTGTTTTTGCCCAGGGCTCAGCCCACAAAATGACACGTTTAATTAGAACTCTGTGCTTACAGACACCAAAGGTGCTACCTTCCACTTTAATTCTACAATTTTTTAATCCTACAGAAAATAATGGGTAAACCCATGGGTTATCTTTTAAAGTGGCTGGACTTGAGGCCTGTACTTCCACAATTAAAATGTATAGGTGTCTCACTAGAAGTGTATGAATGAGCATTTGACTGCTAAACTTTTTCTTAAGCCAGAGTAGTACAAAAATGTTATCAGAGCTTTGGAAGTTTATCAGACAGTCTTGAGCAGGTAGCATACCAACAGTAGGCAGAACAGAATAGATTTTATGACCAGAGGGTTCTGTTCTTCAGTTGACCCATGCCAATAACTCTTGCTAGTTATACTTCTACATCAACTAGAGAATATGTATATAGGTATAACTTTAGAATCTCTATAATCAGTATGTGTTACCTCAGATGGCAATATGGGAAAGTGATGTTGGCAGCTATTTAACCACTAGAGAATTTGTAAATACTCTGTTTTATGTAGGGCTTTTCTGCGGTAAAACGGATTATAGGCAGCACTTTTTTATGGGAAAAGATCAATTTTCCTTTAAAGACTGCTATTCAATTTGATAGCATAAAAAGGGGTTATTATTTTTAACAGCTCTTGTCAGTATGATGCCAGTTACAAAAAATAATTGGTGGATAAGAGCAAAATGCCAATTTTTAACGCACATATCACTTTTTGTTTGCACTTGTTATCCAGAGCTAATCCATTGCTTGTGATACTTTCTCTGCATCTGAAATCTTGTAATTCTCATAATTTAGAATTTACAGCTGAGCTGTTTTGGAAGCAGTATAAGAACTTGCTGTTTAGGTAGGTAGTAGCTAGGGTTAAGTTTTGGAGTATTTTTAGAAGCTTGTTTTATTTTTCTGTCTTTTTATGTCTTCTTATTTTAAGCCCCACTGACCCTTTTTAGGGGGAGGGCAGCACTGAAATCAAGTAATTAAATAAATATTTGTTTCCGATAAAGATGCTGTTGGGTGACAGCATAGTCTAATAGAATTGTTAAGTCTGGAATGAATATCTTTCCTTTTCAGACTATATGCGCTCTGATTTGTGGTCGACCAATTATAAAGCCAGACTACTTTGTTGAATTCATCAAATCTGTTCAGGCCAAGCAACAGCTGCCAACACTAGAAAGGTAAATAGTATGTCTTCAGTATATAAAAAGATCTCACTTAACAGAACTAAAGTTAATGAATAGTTGTGATAGATTGGTGCTGGATTCATTCATCTTCTAACATTATGTTTTTCAAAATGTCCTTTTCTGATCTAACACCACCATTAGTTACCTACCTTCATTGTAAATTAGGACCTCCACCATATTAGATCCAACTGTCATGTCTTACTGCATATGCTGAAGTAGACATTCAAAACAATGATTTATTCTAAGGTATCTGAGAGGCACATATGACCTCAAGTATTTATACGCCCAAAAAGAAAATTCTAATGTTGTGTGTTACTTAGGTCTTCCAGACCTAAGAATTTTTTTTGTTTTAGAAGATTTCATTTCAGCTAATAAAATATATATATCTGAACAGAATCAATTAATTGCAGTAATTTGAGTTTTAGAACAGTGTTTAGTTTGAAGCACATTTATATTCCAGTAATTTCTTGCCTATATCTCTGAACAGTTAAATAATTGAGAGAGAAATGTATTTTTGATATTCATTAGATGGTTAGAGATGTTGCTAGCTCTATATGGATCTCTTTTTCAGAGGTTGCCGTAGAGATTTCTATGGTAATATTTCCAGAGGATCGTGTATACTCTTTTGGGAATTGACACATTAAAAATCTAATTACCCTATTGTAAAAGAAATTTTATATAAAGATTATTTCAATATGAGTACTTGTTTTTCCAGTATGCTTTCTAGTTTTATTTTAAGCTTTCATTATCAGCAGAATAGTCCAGCTGTGTTACATAGCCTGAAATTTCAGGGTCTTTAACATTTTTCCCAGGAGGTAAAACAAGTATATAACATAACTCGGCTCTCTTATCTACTGTTATAATCTCATGTGAGAGAAAGAATCACTGGTACAGCCAAGTGCTGTGCCTGTGTTAGTATCTGATTATGGAAGATAAACAATCTATATAGTGTGACTACTTAATACTGAGTACTTTTTCGTCTCAATCCTACAATTTGATATCAGTGTTTCTAGGAGATACTGGGTGATACTGCCCAAGTTTCTGCAGGCTACGAGAAGCATACCGTTGATTGTGTAATGGTGGAATGCATATTGGTGGTATTGCATTATCCAGTTATAAAGCTGCTGTAAAAGTGTGTCACCACTATTTTTTATTCTGAAATCAGGGTTCGTAATGCCCATTCTTTTAAAAACAGGCAGGCAGCAATATAACTGAACTTTGAATGATTCCTAAAATAGAATAGGATTGGATGTATATTTTCTCCTTCTAACATTTGTTTTAACTATTCAAGTCCCCAGTGGATTTGACCTCCACTGAATGTTATTGACACTAGCAATGTATCCCTTATTCAACTTTCAAAGAGTTAGCTATGCGTCAAGTAAAAAGAGACAGCTGGTATTATAAACAGTTCTATATTTAAAATAATTATAGCATCTCAAAATGGGTAATCTGTAAGAAATAATTTGCAGGAAGATACTGTAAATTTACTTAGCAGCTGCTTGCATATTAAATCTCCATAGAGTCCTTTAACTTTCACAAATACCACATCTGTTTCTCTTATATTTCAAAAATAAAGTAGAATAATTGATTGTGTGTGTTAAGTGCTCTTGTAGGCAGTTGCAAAGTTTGCATTTATGCATTTAAAGCCACTGATTCATTTTGAAATTGGTCTACAGAACAGACGCTGTTGTTTTGTTTGGCCATTAAGCTAGAAAGTCATGCTGTATAACATGTGCACCACAAGTGGCATGGGTAGCCTCTCTGGGTGGCATATGGCAAGTGTAGCAGGAAATAGAGGCAGATTGGGCAGGGAGGAGAAAGCGGAGCAATAGATCAGGAAGAAGGACATGAGTACTCTCAGAAGGTGCAGGGCTTATCTTGTGATATGCCTGCCTAAAAAGTTGGCCTCTACTGCTATACAGAAACTTGGTTCAAATAAAAAAATCCAAGCAAGTGAAATTATATTTAACTAATGGTTGCTTTTTTTCAATAATCCTGGCTTATAATTAAAAATCCTGGTTCATTGTCCAGGTTTTGTTGGCATAGGTTGAAGATTCAATTGAAAATTTGCCTACTATCTCAGGTTTTGTATCAAAACCAGTGATCAAGTTGTTTCTAGGCTGCACTTTCCCATTAGGGCCTTTCACGCCCATACGACTCCTCATTTGTTCCTTTCTAAAGATTCAGTTTTACTAAAAAGCTTTCAAGAAGTGACATTTAAGTAGAGTATATTTGGGTTTGTGTTCTACAATATCTACATGTGATTTTGTGGAGTAACTAATTTTACTGTTATTGCTCTGTTTCTTTAATAAACTGTCTGACAGGGCACTGTGTGAAGTTAGCCCCTGATCCAGCTCACACTTTAAACATATGAACTGGCTGAAGAGATCTGACACTCATTAGCAATAATGGTTATAAAGTCATGGGAAATTAGTGATCTTCCAGAGGACTAGAAAAGGGATAATATAGTGCCTGTTTTTAAGGAGGCACTAAGGAGGACTGGGGGAATTATTAAGGCTGTGTGAAGCTTCGGTCGCTGGTTTGATTCGGCCCAATTTTGCAGCTGAATCTCTGAATCTGAATTGAATCAGGAGACCCTTTAATCTCTCCAATATGGAGAGATCCGATGGTTTGGACACAGACACAGCTTTAATTTTTTTTTCTACGTATCTCAAGGTACCAGGCGGCTCATGAATGCTGAGATGGTGGGGCAGATGAAGCGTCCCATGGGAATGTGAGGTATGGGGGGGTCCCCCCTGCATGCTTGGCAGCAGACCCAGAAGTGGACCAGAAGCACTTCTGGGTCCGCTGCAGAGCACACAAGGGACCTGTTCCTCAGCTCAGCGACTGGTGCCTCCTGGATCTGGGGGGGGGCACCCAGGGTCCCCCTGCGGCCAATCGCCAAGCTGGGAGGTCTGCTGCTGAGTATGCCAGGAGGGGGCACCCTCTTGTGGAATGCTCCATCAACCCCACCATCTCAGCGTTCATGAGCCACACCTGGTACTTTGAGGTATGTAGAAAAAACATTTAGAGCTGTGTCTATGGCCGAATTGCTGATTCTCTGAATCAGCACTGAATCTTCAGATTAAGATTTGGCCGAATTGAATCAGGACAGTGATCCGAATCAATGAACCGAATGACTGTCCCCTTATTTGGTCCGAATCTGAATTGAATACGGTCCCTTTTGCACACCCTTAGGCATTATAAACAAGTTAGCCTGACGGCAATACCTGGGAAGTTACTGGAACAAATCAAATTATAAAATGGTTGATTTGCAAGCTTCTGGACGAGATCTGGTGATCATTACCAGCCAGCATGGATGTGTTAAGGACAAGTATTTCCAAACCAACTTGATTTTCTTTAACAAAGTAACTAGGTGAGTGAATGAAGGGAATGCAGTAGACACAATATACATGGACTTTAGTAAGGCTTTTTGTTGAGTCCCATATTGACATTCTCATAAGTAAACTGGAGATGTGTGACTAGATAAAAATACTGTTGGGTATTATGAGGTATATAAGTGGGTCAGTAATTGCAAGCAAAGGGGAATTATAAATGGATGAATGTTGAATGACAGGAGGTTTCAAGCTGGGTTCAACAGGGATCAGTCCTGGGTTTAGTGGTGTTTCATATATTTATTAATGTTTTGAATGCTGGAATAAAGAGCTGCTTCATCAAATTTGTAGATGACTTAAAGCTTGGAAGTATTGTAAACACTTGGGAGAACAAAAGTAGATTTCGGAAGTGTCTTGGTAGACTGGAAGGCTGGGCTAGAGACAGCAGAATGAAATTCCTCATAGATGCAAGTGCTAAACCTAGGAAAGAATAATGAATTGCACAAATATATACTAGGAGACAACTGGTTGGGCAGTAACTTTGCCAAGAAAGATCTAAGGGTTTTTGGTTGATCACAGACTGTACATGAATCTGCACTGTAGCACAGATGCCAAGAAAACACAAAACCCAAAGCCAAAAAACAAAAAAAAAAACCCTTCCAAATGTATTTTGGACTGCGTCAACAAGAATGTTGGGTTTAAAACATGGCAGGTGATAGTACAGTTCTACCTGACACTGGTTAGGTTTCATCTAGAGTATTATGTACAATGCTGGGCTTTAGATGTGGGAAAGTTTTGAGAGGATCAAGAGATGAATGACAAAAATTGAAAGGGTTGGAAGGCAAGCTGTGTGTAACTTAGAGAAAATGAGATTAATGGGGGGCATAATAGCAGTTTTCAGGTATTTGAAAATCTGCCTTTGAGAAGAGGGAGAACATCTGTCTTTCCCTTGCTGCAGAGGGTAGGCCACAAAGTAATGGTTTTAATTTTAAGGACATCTTCCTTAAGGTATTGGAATAGACTTTCCAAGTTGTAGCAACTCTTTCACTGGAGATTATCAAGAAGGATAGTTCAAGGACAGCATGCCTGCAGACTTCTGAAGTCTCTTTCTACCCTACAGTTCTGTTCTCTTCAGAGAGAATGCTTATGTGCTTAAAGTTAATGGAACTATGTACAAAACACTTACAGAGATGTTTGCAGGATTAGTCTTATTTGTCAAGATATGGCTCTGTCTGTACCTGTAGTCTGTTGATCTCCATAACAAGAATGAAATCCAAAATAAAATTTTGGTTCTCTGGCCTTTAAATCTGATTTCTACCTTTGGCCAGTAGAATTTTTTTTCTGTGTAGTCCTATGAGACATTTCTTTAGTCAAAGAAAAGTGAAACGGGCAGTTCTTGTTTGAGAAATGTGGGTTTGTATGAAATGCAGTTTAATTACAAAGGAGGTATCTACAGAGTTAGGGGTGATGTGATTTCTCAACATGCACTTTAATTTTGTTCTCACCTCTGGTAATAAGTTGTTCAGGTTGTTTAGATGTTAGCCTCTGATAAAATTTAGCCTCTGAGATTTCCAGAGAGGCATTTATCCTGTTCTTAATTTTATAGTAGGAACATCACATTATTTGTGGCACTGAGGCCACAAACTCATTTCACTGCTCAGTTGCAACTCTGTTGTACTTAATGTACCAGATTTAAGCTGGAATTATCAAAAGAACCTGAGAATAATAAATGCTTAACTCCCATTGAATCTGAGAACTGTAGCTTGAGGCCAGTGATTTAGAGGTGAGAGGTTTCCTGTCCTTACTTTCCCTGTTACATAAGTAGTTATTACAGCAGTGAAGAAATAAAGAATTGTTTTTTATAACCTGCCTTTGAAGCTTTCCTCTGAAATGAATAAAACAGAATTAAATTATAGTCAGCAGCTGTGTGTTAATCTCTGTTTTGTAACTTTATTTTCCCATTCTTGCAGCTTTTATCCTCCAGTTGATGAGCCCTCTATTGGCACTGAAAAAGTGGATCTGTCTATGCGTCATGAAAGAAAAACAATCTTTAGAGGGAAAACCTTTATGTTCCTAAATGCTAAGCAGGTAATTGACATCTCCACTGCAGAAATGTTCATAGAGATGAAATTGACTAGAGTATTTAAAAGATATTTTGAAACAGAGAGAAATTGTGGATTAATTGCACAAAATGCCAAAATTCGAATAAGAACAAAACATACTTTAGGTTGATGGTATTTTTCATCTTTCTATTAAAAAATTATGCTGTAAAAATGAGGCACATTTTGCTGAGTCTGCAACAGATGTTGAAGTGAGTAGGGAACCTGGTCATTTGGAAGATGTCATCTTAACAGCCCATTGAAAGAATCTGGACATTGGCCTTACAAGCTGTGTCTTTTTTTCCTTAGGTGATTCTTGATGTTTTAAATGACCTACATTTATTAAAAATATCCACAAGTATTTGATTCCATTGAATGTGTCTGAATGACTGTAGACCACTGAATATAGCAAATTGATGAATAGCTCTTTGTGCAGTTTTTACATCAAGCTTGTTTACGTTTTGCCATAAGTATTCAGATTACTTTATAGACATAGGTATCCAAAAGTTCAGGTCCTTAACCATATGGACTGTCACTGAAACAATTGAATTCTGCAGGAGGAAGAGTTCTGTATTTGCAGATCTCTTTAGAAGATCAGGGTCTTAAGTGAAAAAATGAATAATGAAAGTTATTGATAAACATGGGGTGGGAAATAATGGCAGGAAGGAAGGGTAGATTTAAAAAAAAATGTAATGGTCTTTCTGTGAACTTAATATAATGAACACTGTTGAGGCATCATTTGCCCAACCAGTATGCTTTGTGGCTGTAGCTATTATCTCCAGTTCCAGTAATAGCTCACATAGAGTAGTGTGTGGAAGTGCACTGCTGCTTGTAAATTTGTGATATAGACATGCCCTCTTTACTTGTTCAGTTCAAGATGATTGACTCTGTGTTGAGCATTTTTTCTTTTTCTTTCTATTCCTGAGACTAGTGACTTATAGGTGTCATAGTCTAATGACCATATAGCTCAGCCACAGATTGTACTTGCTTTGCATTGTGTTCTCTCTTGCGCTTTGGCATGTTGCACCATTAAATCCTGGCCACAACCTACTCACATCATATAGCTGCTTCCTGTTTGATTTGCCTGTTGGCTTGCTGTCCTTTTACTAAGGTAGGTTTTTAGCAGGTGGTCATCCTTTGGCAAACTGTTGGAGCTTCTGGCTTGCCCCCTATCAGTGATAAGTCTCTTTCACTTTAGTGAAAAACTGGTGACTGTATAAATTACTCATAATTTGCATTTTTATTTCTTTCTTAGCACAAGAAACTGAGTCCATCTGTTATTCTTGGAGGGGGAGAAGCAAAACTTATGACAGAAGAGAGAAAAGACATTTCTTTACTGGTAGCTCCTAATGTTTGTGTCATTGATGTAGGATTAACAGACTCTCAGGCCCTAGCATCTGAGTCTGCAGGAAATTGGATTCATTCTGTTATGACAGTGCTACAAAGGTGAAACATCTTTCTTTTTCTTTAGGAAGCACTTTGGTATTTTACTTGCTATTTGATTGACATCCTTGTATACAGATTAAGGTGGATTATTGTGGGTGGGAGGGGCAATGGGATGCACCTAATTTACCTGCCTCAATGTATTTAAGATAATGTAATGGAATATTGACAAACTTTTCAGGGGTGGGGAGGAAAGGATGACAGTTGTTGAAGAATATTTTATAAGAACATCAAAATGTACAAAACTAATAGAACTACCCCTGGTTTTTTTTTAATAACAGTTTGTTTTGAAATTGTAGAATGCACCAGTTCGAATAGATAAAGTCAAATTTATTCTTTTTTCTACCACTTAAAATGAGCTATGAATAAAAAGATTATGAAAAATAGGGGAGATAATTACCTGTACTTTATTAAGCTCTTAAGAGTAGTGGTTGTATATTTCCTTAGAGCATATTGTTTTGAGGATGGTTTGGTCATACAAATGATAAAAAAAAAGAAATAACTCATACCACCCAACCTAATAGGAGAACTAGCAGACAAAACCAGTAGTCTTATTTTGCTGCCAGCACAGCTACATATACAGAAGAGTTTGTCTACCTATAGGTCAAGTCTTGCTAAAACATGTAAATCTTGTAATTAGGGGTGCACTAATAGAGATTTTCTTGGCCAGTATCGATAGCCAGTTGTTCAGCAGGCACATTGGCTGATACCGATTCAATAACTGATTTACAGGAGCAAAGGCAGGCAGTGTGGAGAGCAGTTATCTGCTGGTAAGTCTGTGGAGGGGAAGAGGTATGGGGAGGGGAAGGGGCATGGTGGGGGTGCAGATCAAGGTCCCCACAGTGAGGGAGGGAGTGAGGCAGGGACTGGGGCTCAGGGCACTGCCCAGCCAGGGTGGTAAATGGGATGCTAGGGCAGGGAGCAGGATTGAGCCATGGGTGGCTCATCCAGGGAATTGGCGTCCCAGTGCTTAAAAATGGTGACAGGGGCACTTGAACCTAAAGCTTGTCAAATGAGCTTTAGTTCAAGTACTGCTGCCACCATTTTTAAGCATGGGGATGCTTTAGGATAAGAGCCAAGCGGAGCAAGGGCAGGGGTGGAGATGGAGGCGGGCAGCTCATTGTGGGCTCAGGGCTGTCTGCCCTGCTGCCTTTGCCCCGGGTGTCACATCCCCTGTCTGCCCGGTAGCAGGAGGCACAACTTGCTGCTCGTATTGCCACTGGGTGGGCAGGGGACATGGGGTCAGCACGTGACTGCTGGGGCAAAAGGCAGCAGGGTGGAGAGCTCTGAGCCCACAGCAGGTAACCTGCGTCTGCCCTGCGCACAAATCTGGGAGGGCACATGCCCACCCGTGCCTTCCCCAGGGGATGCTCACAGCAGCTGGAAGCCGCCCATGCTTCCCTGCACCTCCTGGATGAATTGCCCAGGACTCCACTGCACTCCCCACCCTGACTCTCGGGTCCCATTCACCCCATAGCAGTTGGGAGCCTCAATCTCCCTCCCCGTGCCCTTTCCCCTCCACAGACTTATCTGCAGGGCACTGCTCTTCACACTGCCTGGCTGCACTCCTGGTGGGAGGGTCCAGTCAGAAGCCACATTATATTTATCAATACATTATTGGTACACCAACCAAAAAAGTCGATAGCCAATGATGTTAATTTTCCTTTTATCTGTGCCAATCCGATATGGCGCCGATAGATTGGTGCACCTCTACTTCATGATTTTTTCCAGTCTCCTCCTACCCCATGAATTACAGCAAACTGCATGGGAGGCATCTCAGTATATGTAATTGTCCAAAGCTGAACTGGTTCAGAGATCAGGAAGGGAAAAGTGCCCTGTTAATAAGAAATTAACTGTAATGGCAAGTTCTTACAACCAACATTATTGTTATTAATGACTGCATTTCTTTTGGTGGTGTTTAAGGACCAGCCAGAAATGAGGTCCTGTTGTGCTAGGCGGTATACAAACACATATACAAAGTTTACAGTATACAAATACAAAGCTTGTAGTCAGTTTATCGTTTCTGTTTTCCCCCTCAGAATCGATCCACAACAATGATATGTGAAGTAATTTATATCTTCTGACAGAACTGTTAACCTTGAGTGTCTTTTAAAACATAATTTTCTAAAACTGTGTTTTATTTTTAACAGCAAGGATCTCAGGCCTATTCCAGAAGCAGAGATCGGATTAGCAGTTATCTTTGGGTCCACAGAAAGATATTGTAATCCTCAAAAACAAACTGTGACAGGTAACTGGAATAATGTAGTAAATATAGGAACAGTATTAATCAGTGATTCCAGTTAAAAACAGCAACATCTTTGTGTTTGAAGGAACATAAATAGCATGTTTTATTTTTCAGGTCCATTTATATTTTTATGTATTTTTCTTTTAATATTATGATTATCTTGAGTGCACAAATTATTATAACGTTTATGGATGTAAAGGGGGGAAGCAGAGACTGGTTTAAAATGTAGATTTTTTTTAGTAATTACACTGAAGTTTTAGAATAATTTTTTTTTTAAATACATATTTTAGTGGTCAGGGAAAAGTGCATATAATTTTGCTCATTCTGTGTTTGCTTGACTTTTGTAATGAGAGAGAGTGCTACAAATGGAGATGCGATGAACCGTAGAAACTACAATATTGAATGTGAATAAGAGATAAATTAGTATATAAAGATTTTCCTTGTTTTCACTTTGACATTGATTTGTTTTAAACTAAAATGAAACTTCAAATCAAGAATACTTTGTCTTACTTAAAAAGTACTAATAGCTTTAGATTTATGTTTTAGGTGTTTTCTTTATAAGCCTAATTTGTGTTGACTAATGGAAAAATATAAGAGAACCTTTTTTTATTATTATTTTCCAACTGTTTGTGGAAATTTGGGTATGATTTGTGTTAAAGAGCTGTGATCTGCTGCCTGCACATCCCTGCAACAGGTGCTGGTTCTACAAGCAGGGGTGTTCAGGGAACACATCATGGCTCTGCCCTAGGCCCCAGCCCTGTGCTGTCACCGCCCTAAGATCTAGGACTTGGCCTCACACACAGCTTCCTGCAATCTTATGGCCCCATGCCGTCTACCTGGCCATGTGCTCTGCCTGTGCAGGTCCCATGGGGCCTAGGGCAGAGCTGCAGTCCACTCCCTGCACATCTCTGCCTGCAGAACTGGCGCCCATCACAGGGACATGCAGGGAGCAGATCATGGCTCTGCCCTGGGCCCCAGCTCCAGACTGTCACCACCCTTTGATCCCAGCCCTGGCCCTATCTGCCCATCCTGCACCCCAGTACTAGTCCCTGTCCACCCACGGCCCCATCCCAGCCGCCTGGCCAAATGCAGAGGAGAGCCTTTTTCTTGCATAGCACCAGGCCCACAGTTGATCTTTAATAAACATTACTAGGCAAAGTTAATGTAATCCTCACGCTAAATCAGGGGTGGGCAACTATTTGGGTCTGTGGGCCATTTGGGGAGTTTTGGGGGGGGGGGTGTGTTTTGAGCTGCTGACCCCACCCACAACATATCATCAAAACTCCTTGGGTGGCCTGTGGGCCCAAATAATTGCCCACCCCTGGGTTAAACTATTTTCAGGCATATTTTTTAATTAAGCAACAAATCCTAAAATGATTTTTATTTCTTGATTCCTTATGTGTATTGTGTTTAATGTGAGATCCTTGTATCACTGAAGTTAGTGGGAGTTTTGCCACTGGCTGCAAAAAAGCCGGATTTTCATCCCGAGTGCCTTCCCACTTCACAGTAGGAGTAACCCATCCTGATTAGACTTGTTCCTATTAATAGGTTTTGGAAAAAAGGGAAGGCACTTCACTTCGGGGGGGGGAAAAAAGATTTGGTAAGGTTTGGTTGCAGAGCTGACTTGTGTCTAGAGATGGTTAGTTGATGGGAATGTTTAGTTATAGGCTCAGAAAAATTACTTAAATTATTTTAAGAATATTAACTAAGCCTAAGGAGACTTGACTCCCATATTTAACAGTGTAAGCAGAGAGAGGCTCAGCTTTTATTCCCTAATGGACAATAAAAAAAAAAAGCAAGGAACTTTTTGTCTTATGTTGGAATCAAATTTCAGAAATGAAATGAGCTTTTTCAGTCTGACTGAGAACATAAATTGATTCTCTCTCTCATAACAATGCAGATCTTTGTTTTTTAAGATACAAACATTTAGGAAAGACCTGGGGATAATGGTAAATTACTCACGTGCAGTGATAGCAACCTGTACCCCCAAAAATGAATCTTGGACTGTATAAATGATGGGGCAGACAAAATTGAAAAAATAGTGGTATTACATTTTCATCTCTATCTTTGGAGCTTTTTTAAGGGGTGGTCAGATATGGTTTAGGTATAGTTGATCCTACCTTGAGACTTGGATGAACTGCATGGCCGGTGGAGGTACTCTCCTCAAAAATGATAATGTGTTCTCACTGTAAGTGCTTTGGTCAGTTCGGATTATCCTATCAGGAAAAAAGTACAGCAGAAATAGAAGAAATTTGTAAATGAATTGTAAAAAGTATTTGGGGACCTGGCTAGTGTGGTGTAAGCATGGAGAAATAATAATGAGTATTACTTTTTATTTAGAGAATAGATGCTTAAGATTGGATGTGGTAGAGTGAAATGGAAAATCAGATGCACCTAATTATCCTGTCTTAATGAAACAACAAGGGGAAGTCTGAACAAATTTAAAACTAACCAAAGGAAATAATTTCTTACATAATGCACATTTAACATGAAACTCCTATTGTTACGGGATATCATTAATGATAAAAAAAAATTAGTGGGATTCAAGCAGGGATTAAGTACTTACATGCAGATGTGAAGATCCATCATGGCATTAGCTGGTGAATGAAAATGAATAAGGGGTATAAATTTTACTGTTTCATGACAAAAGTCGTCAGTGTGATTTGGGAATACTCAGGGTAGTGGTTGTTCTTTGAGAAATGTGCTGCTAATGGTATGTGTGTATCTGTCTTCTATTTTTTTTTTCTTTGAGATTTTATTCTGGTGTGTAATTGGGTAGTTTCACTCGCATAGTGAAACCATAGTTGTACCCACATGGTGCATTGGATCAAGAGTATCGCATTTTAGAAGAGGCATTTGTAGGAACCATGGATTCTGATGTTTTTATTGTGGGGGGTTGTACTATCAACTAGTGCTTTTGCTAATTTTTTGTCTGCTACTGCTGTTTTTCACTATGCTATACCTAGCTTCCTGTGATCAGAGACTTGAAGAAGAATATGTTGCCTTTGAAAGCTTGTTTAACTTCATCCCAGCTACATCGTCCAATAAAAGATACCACTCTACAAGATCCTTGCATTTTTACTTGGGCAGGACTTTCACTGACCTCAGTGGGATTTTGAAAGAGGTCCTAGAATTTGGTCTTGTAATATTCTTGGAGATCCCATTTAATGATTGAATCTTCATAATGTATGTAACAATAGAACAACAAAAATGAACTTGTTCCTTATATTCAATTTGCAGTTATAAAGCCAGCTACTCCTGCAGCAAACCTTCCCAGATCCTCCATTTCTCAAAGTTTGATAGTAGAGGAAACAGTGCCTACTGCTACAAATAATGACTCTGTATACGTAGCTGATACAGAACCAGAAGAACTGACAGACTCACGGTAAAGTTGCAGAGAAATTATTTTTAAGTGGATGTTTAAAATCCAGGGTTATTACCCCACCACTGGAATTTTGCAGTAACCTTAGATTTATGGTCAGCTGATGTCACATGCCTGTATTTGCAAAAGGAAATATCTATTGCCAAAAGCAGACCTAAAATTATAAAAGTGGGGGATGCAGCCAGCTGGTGGGGTGTCTGATTTATTTGCCCTTTTGACTGGGTCCACTGGGCTTCTTGAAAGTCAGGTGACCCACTTCTAGCAGCAGGTTGTCAGTGCAGTTGCCAGAGCTGCCGTGTTGGTGTGACCCTAGAACCCAGGAGGTGAATGCCACCACTATTTAACCTCTTCCCCTGCACTTTTTTCCCTGATGCTGATTATAGTTGCCAGTGGCAACCAAGGGTCCCAAATTCAGCAGGCAAAGAAGTTGGGTGAGTGACAGCGACATTCACCTCCTGGGTTTCAGAGCCACACCAACAAGCCCTGCATGCACTACAGTTAAAACAGGTGCGATCACCCCCTGGTCAGTCTCTGCTTGTCACATCTAATGGTCACAAACTCACAGAGAACAGATTTAGGACTGGTCACAAACCGATAGAGCAGATATAGTCTAGATATCAGGAAAAACTTCTTCATGGTAAGGGTGGCCAAAATTTGGAATGGGCTTCCAAGGGAGGTGGTGCTCTCCCCTACCTTGGGAGTCTTTAAGAGAAAGCTAGATAGGCATCTGTCTGGGGTCATCTGACCCCAGCACTCTTTCCTGCCTGGACAGGAGGGAGGACTTGATGATCTGCTGAGGTTCCTTCTGACCCTAGCATCTATGAATCTGTCTACAGTGGATCAGCTTCTGTCTTCAGGTAATAGGTTGTAGCAGTCAGAACATTGTGTCAGATGTTGGGCAAAGCAATTGGTAATGCAGCTGATTTACTCTTCTAACTATGTTTCTGAGTTTTGAAAGCAATTTCATAATCTACTGCAGAGCTGTGAAATGTTTGCCCCATGAGGCCGGTACAGGGTGTGTGTTGCATGCAGTACCCCACTGGACCAACTCTGTGCATTGGCTCTGGTCCACATGGATGGCCTGGGACCTGCCCTCCCTCTCCCCAGCACCACAGTCTCCCTTGTTCTCCCCTGGCCACCTGTCCCTTCCTCTGCCAAATGAGCCATCCTTGCTGAGCCAGCAGCAGCAGCTCTGCCCCAGATCCCAAGCTGCAGCAGCTGTCTGCTCTGGGCCCGCACTCAAATTTCAGACAAGGCTATTTTCCCCCACATAAATTTTCTCATGTACAGTACTCCTTAAATAAAACATGCACCCAAGTTTTGAAAGGCAGAGTGTAGAAAAAAATGTTTTTTTCCAGAGTCATGGTCGACTGTGTGAAATAAAGGAAGTCCTCCTGGGAACATAGTGTGTCCCTATTTTTAAGGGCTGATTTTTTGGGGGCAGGTGCATGTTATATTCAAGAAAATATGGTAATTTATTTAGCTTCCATGAATGTTGGTATGTAGTATAAAGACAGCTTTAGCAATGCTCTATAGTTTATGCTCAGTCTCAGTTTCTGTATTGGATGCCTGTATATTTACTTAATTTTTTTTAGTTTTGTTTTATGTAGCATGGAGATGGATAAAACACAAATGAACAGAAAAGGCCAAACAAATGTACTGGATATAGCTACTGTAAAAGAGACTCCCAACACAAGTGGCAATGCAAATATGGGGGTTTTATTCTCCAGGATTGATAAAATACCCAAGTTTGACCAAAAAAGCTTGTCACTCGCACCTTTCAGAACTTCAGAAGTTGGTAAAAATAGAGATCAAGCATCACAGCAACAGCTGAACTCAATAAAAAATTACTTCCAGCCAGCTACAAAGAAAAGGTACGTTGACAGAGATTCTAATTTTGAGTAATTTTTATTATCAAATGAGGCTACTTTGCTTTTGCCAGGAGCACTGCGTTCAGGAACACAGACGATGTGCATGAATGCAGTGCCGTATTTGTGGATTTCGCCATTCACGGGGATCACCAGAACGTATCTCCTGCGAATGGCAAGGGTCACCTGTACAATGTAGCACAGTGTCCACACCCTGGTAAACTAAATTCCTAATACCGGGAGCATCAACATGTGTCACTATGGTGACATTGTTACTGTGTGGTGATTTAGTACTTCCTTTTGGCAGTTGCGCAGCACAGGGTTATTTTTAGCAGCTACTTTGCCGTAGTGGTACACTATGCTGGGGGAGCATGCTGCTATGCCAAAGTAGCTGCTGGTCACGTGTAGATGCGCGCAGATGCTACTTCACCGTAGTGTCACGTATAGACACGCCCACTGTGTAACCCTACTCCAGGTTTCTTCTACCGAAGATTGAAAGACATTTAACAAGCCCTTACTTGTGAAAATTTGTATTGATATTTTATCATTGTCTTGAGAGATTTCAAAATTGTTTGGTTGATTTGTGTATACATGATCCTTATTTTTTCTCCCCTTTCTGTGTAAGGGAAAGGAAGGAAGAAGAGGAAGAAGTTTCTTCTGTGCCTAAACTGGCAAAGTTGGAAGACATGTCACTGCCTTCTTCCAGTCATACCCAACCCTGTGCTT